TAGTTCCCCCATGCTGGCTCAGGAATTCTGGGGGTTGAAGTCCACGAGTCATGAAGGGGGCCATAGTTCCCCCATGCTGGCTCAGGAATTCTGGGAGTTGAAGTCCACGAGTCATGAAGGGGCCATAGTTCCCCCATGCTGGCACAGGAATTCTGGGAGTTGAAGTCCACGAGTCATGAAGGGGCCACAGTTCCCCCATGCTGGCTCAGGAATTCTGGGAGTTGAAGTCCACGAGTCATGAAGGGGCCATAGTTCCCCCATGCTGGCACAGGAATTCTGGGAGTTGAAGTCCACCAGTCATGAAGGGGCCACAGTTTCCCCATGCTGGCTCAGGAATTCTGGGAGTTGAAGTCCACCAGTCATGAAGGGGCCATAGTTCCCCCATGCTGGCTGAGGAATTCTGGGAATTGAAGTCCACAAGTCATAAAAGAGCCAAGGTTGCCTACCCCTGACCTGGACGACTGAGACTCTCCATAAGGCATAGACCTTCTCTCCTATTGAAGTTCTTCCCACGTAGTTTTAATCCATCGGTTCTGCTCCTTCTCTTTGGGGCCAGAGAATAACGTTACTCTCTTTTCTACGGGGCAACCCTTCAGATCTTTGAAAGCCATGTGATTGTTGATTGTGTAGTTTGTGTTAGAATTACAGTTTCTTCTTGGCTTGCAAGTTATTTGAATCCTTCATTTTTTTTCTAGGAAACTTCCAGACCATCCGTCCACTGAGTGGGATGTACCTCTCCTTGCAGAGCTGATCCTCTCACACATCAAAGCCTACCAGATCGACCTGGTAATGCAGCAATTTAAGTATTTCTTATTGACTTCAACTCCCTCCCTCCCTTCCTTCCCTCCCCCCTCCCTCCTTCCCCTCCCCTCCCTTCCCCTCTTCTCCCTCCCTTCCTCCCCTCCCTCCCTCCTTTCTTCCTTCCTTTCCTTCTTTCTCTCTCTCTCCCTCCTTCCCTCCCTCACCCTTCCTTCCTTCCTTCCTTCCTGTTCCCTCCCTCATTTCCTCTTCTCCCTCCCCTTCCTGCCTCCCTCCCTTTCTTCTTCCTTTCCTTCTTTCTCTCCCTCCTTTCTTCCTTTCTTTCCTTCTTTCCCTCCTTCCCTCCCTCCTTCCTTCCTGTTCCCTCCCTCCTTCCCTTCCTTCCCCTCTTCTGCCTCCCTCCCTCTTTCCTTCTTCCTTTCCTTC